TAACCAGAAGGGCAATTCCCCACACCAATCACAAGTTATGAACAAACACAAGCTGAGATTATATATATATTGTATATATTGGATGCGGAATGGCTGTGGTTGTGGTCCTCCAGTGGTCGCCCAGTATCCGTCTGGTTGAAACTCTTTGAGTGAAGTTGGTGTCTTGGATAAGGATCCCTGTTGTAGATGGCGCGGATGGTTCTCTTGACGCTGTCAGTTCTTCCAAGAGTTGCTCGTTCTGGAATAGTCAAAGGATGTAAAGCATCGGCGATGAGTTGCTCGTTCTGGAATAGTCAAAGGCTGTAGGGCATTGGCGATGACTTGCTCGTTCTGGAATAGTCAAAGGCTGTAGGGTATCGGCGATGAGTTGCTCGTTCTGGAATAGTCAAAGGCTATAAAGCATCGGCGATGAGTTGCTCGTTCTGGAATAGTCAAAGGATGTAAAGCATCGGCGATGAGTTGCTCGTTCTGGACTAGTCAAAGGCTGTAAGGCATCGGCGATGACTTGCTCGTTCTGGAAAAGTCAAGGGCTGTAGGGTATCGGTGATGAGTTGCTCGTTCTGGAATAGTCAAAGGCTGTAAAGCATCGGCAATGAGTTGCTCGTTCTGGAATAGTCAAAGGCTGTAAAGCATCAGCGATGAGTTGGGAAAAGTGATCAGTCACCTGATCATCATTACTCACCTCGTCTAAGGGCATGTTCATGTACCGATATATTTTCTATCGTTCAGACAAATCCTGAAAAGTATTTTTCCAAACATACAACCGAAACATACTTCGCTGGCGAGACGTTTGATAATGTTAAACAGTTTGGGGCATATCATAGACTTAATACAGATTCCACCTGATCTACTATGATTCATGTTTGTATGGATACATAGATATGAAAATATCTTCCTCCAGTAGATCTTTCCTTTGTATGTCCACATGTTACACATTTAAAAATAGGTACCTCATCAGGTCGTCGTGCACAGCCAGACCAGTTTTCACAGGAGCTGCAGATACATTCGGGTTAAAAATAAGTCTGGAACTTATTATCCTCTGCTGGACATTCAGGCTAGCTATTCTCCAAATGTTCGTAGCTCTACGAACTTCTTAAGACCATTCTAAATACATTGGCTACAATCAAAGTTAAGAATTCTTAAGGCTACGAATGTTTCGAGAATAAGGGTCGTGGTCAGATATGCTTTATCCTCATGTTTTCTCTTGGCTTCTCGTAGATTGTTGATTGCAACAAGATCTTCTCACATCCATGCCGTCTCAGTGTGAGGATGAGTGGGTGAAACCTTTCTCAATGTTGAGCTTGTTGAACCACTCTTTTCATTTCTTTATGCTGTTTATTGTTTTTGATGCAAAGGATCTGGCATGACTTCCAAGATGTTTGCATAAATATGGAATCCTACCATTTTCGTAGTTCTGCAGGGAGACGTAATATCATCCGTGTGATAGTTTTTCAGAACAAACTTTAGAGTCCCGTGCATCTTTGTGCTTTAAGTACTTCACACCATCAAAGTTAAACACCTTTCTTTCACGATACATCTCGGTCTTCTCCTTCTTCACCACCCTCATGATGGTTATATAAAAAGACGACTGTTGCTATTGCCTTGAGGTTTCCATACAGTAAAGAGACAGCGCGCCCTTTGGACACGTGATATACGTGTTAAGAGATGTGAAGACACTGTCTCCCATTGGATGAATTCTAGCAAGTGTTTCCTTCCATGAGATTTGCATGATGAGTATATAGCCTTGTCTGCTAAAACAACACGTGCATCCATTCCCATGGACGAATCAGGACACACCCTATTGACACATGTGTATCCTTTGACAAGACCTGTTTGTTCAGTAAATACAGGCGTGTCACAAGAGTACACCCACGTGTTTATTCTAACAGGTAGCATCGGTTTGAAACCACACCCAGGTTGACACAGGTGCATCTGGACATAAGATCTGTTTGTTCGGTAGATGGGTGTGTCATTGGAATACATCAGACTCAGACTCTGGATTTTATTCTCATAAATCATACAAAATGATATCGAGAACATACATATATTTTGATAAATACAAAGTGCCATTTTGGCTTATATGCATGTGAATATAATATAAATGTATAACTAAAACAGGGATAATACAATTTTCGTCAAACGTGACAGTTTCTGTACCAAAGGATGATAGTCAGATTTCATAAGGGAAACAAATTTATCAATATGGGGGTTATTACAAAAGTCCACGTGTTTATTCCATATCCCATGGTGACGCGCTAATGTTGACACAGATGTTTCCTTTCATAAGACCTGTTTGTTCGGTAAATATAGGCGTGTCACAAGAATACACCAATACAATACAATACAATATAGTTCATTTAAGTCTCACCATTTGTACAGCAAGAGTTAACATATAGCATTTTCAATATCAAAAAGGTAAAAGTACAAAAGCCACCCAAAAGGGTTATGAGAGACTATATTTTACAAAATTAGTGTACTTTATACTTATGTAAAAGAGATAAAATGTTACATATTATTAGAACATATAAACACATATAAAACTATAAATATAAGGAATGTAAATGATGAAATACACAATTAAAGATACAATATTAAGTCTATTGTTAAATGATACATAAAGTAATTTCCTGCGCATAAACATTTTGAAGCACATGCTTCCTAAGTTAAGTGGTAAGTTACAATGGTTCCTTTAAAATGGTAATATCTACATGAGTATTATAAAACATATTCTTCAAAAAAAAGTACGGATATCGTCATAAAACGGATAGTGTAAAAAGAAGTGGGTTTCGTTTTCAGCTTGGTATGTACAGTGTTTACAGTAGCATTGTGTAGCGTGAATAGGAAGGGTGCAGTATCGGCCCGTTTCTATCTCGAGTTTTAGGGAGCCACATCTCAAGGAAGCAAGTATCCGTCGCTGGTATCTTGGAAGTATATCCCTCAGTGTCTTAATCAGTCTTGTAAAGTTTAAAAGTGCTCAGTTTTGTTGCTGACTTGTCCTTCCACCGTTGTTTATCAATCGAGACAAGTCTGGATAAAATGTTATTTATAACCCATGTAGATGATTCATCCGTGGTATTGAGCAGGTCTGTAAGCTCAAGTTCACTGTAGATATCTTCTTCTCCCAGGATTCCTCTTGTAAGTGACCACTGGTGAATTCTGTAGGTCAGTCTGGTCGTGGGTATTCGCTGTAATCTACACCAGTCGGGCAGCCTCAAGATACAGTTTAAACTGACAGTCCAACCATCCCATATCTCCTCGTACAGCATTGTCACAGGTGTTTCTAGAAACTCCGAGGAAGACACGCCATGCTCTGTTCTGTATAGTGTAGACTTCTTTACACATGTTAACTCCCAACAGACCTGAACAATAAGTTAAAACCGGCTGAACAATACTTTCGTAGAGTCGGGTAGTTGACATCATAGTGCATATCACTGCAGGTGTAAAACTTGTGACAGAGATATTCAAGAGCACGTGAAGCAGATTTTACCAGTTCTTTTACAGCATAGTGCAATTTACAATGCACGTGTAGCCACAGACCGAGGTAACGGTAGTTGTCTGTGTAATCGAGTGTCACATGGCCACAGTGGAAAGTCACGTCATGTCGAGGCACGCTTTCTATCCTGAAATGTACAAAACTTGTCTTGCTTGCGTTTATGCTGACTCGCCACTTGTTAGTCCACAGAAACAGTATATTCAGTAACACTTGGAGGCTTTCGGGATCAGGGCTGAGTAAAACAATGTCGTCTGCATATAATATAACGAAAACATTTAAAACTGTCAATCTGAATACCGCAGTTGCTCTCTTTCAACTCTATAGCAAGATCATTAAAATATGTAGCGAACAGCGTGGGAGATAAGACACATCCTTGCTTTACACCAGATTCATCAGGAAAGATATGCGTCTCATAGTTGTTGACTGAGTGATCTGATAGCTTGAAGAATTTTGCCTGATATACTATAGTTCACGAGTTAAAAACACAACAAGTCTCTATTTACAGAATCAAATGCCTTTTTAAAATCGACGAAACAAATAAAAGTGGATTTTTGCTGTTTTTCTGTTATTTACAATACTATTACACTATATACATGATCAAGACAGGATCACCCTCTTCTAAAACCGTTCTGCTCGTCGACCAATATGTCCTGGGACTCGAGGTATTTACACAGTCTGTGATTGATGATGTTGGAAGGTATAGATAAAATAGTCAGTGGCCTGTAGCTGAGCGGATCACGTTGGTCGGCGTCTTTACTCTTCTTGGGTATTGGCTTTATTTTTCCACGGTTCCAGATGCTTGGTACATGGCCTGTATTACAACTGTGGGATCTGTGTCTATACATTAACTTAGCACATACGTCATTTTTCAGTCCAACACTCGGAATGTTATCAAGTCCCACCGCCTTTTCCACCTATATGTTTATTCAATATCCAAATGTGACGGGTGGCGTCTGTGTGATAGTAATGATGTTTAAGGGCTTGCTTTTTAAAAACTTTTTTGCCTTATATTTACACAAGCAAGTGCAACCCATCATTATTCAGTAGGTCAGGTTTGTTTGCAAAGGATGGACGTTCAATGGAACAAAGACATCCGTTCTCTGGAAGTCATTTCAAACGACTTCCACGTATGGTCGCGCTAATACGATTAATTACTACGGATTGTTTTTCATTGATGAAGGGACCCGTGAAGATCCGGGGTAGAATAGGTCTTCAGCAACCCATGTTTGCCACAAAAGGCTACTATGCTTGTCGTAAGAGGCGACTAACGGGATCGGGTGGTCTGACTTGGTTGACACATGTCATTGGTTCCCAATTGCGCAGATCGATGCTCATGCTGTTGATCACTGGATTGTCTGGTCCAAACTCGATTATTTACAGACACCATATAGCTGGAATATTGCTGAGTGCAGCGTGAAACTAAACTCACTCACTCACTCCATTGAGGAAGGCTCGGGTAATTGACTGCGTCAGTGCATAAAAACAAACACCAGTTCATTCACCTTACTGACCTGTGACGTAATGCATCAACTTGCATATTTATGAGATATCATGCATAAATAATTAGGATTCGGCTGGATCCAGGAAATGTAGGATGTCAGGACCCACACTATAGTACTATCGTTAAATGAATATCGATCGATTATCGATAAATATCGGAGAAGTAACACTGAGCAAAAATGACTAAAAAATATGAAAGAAATCAACATATTTCACAACAGTGGTGAGTGGTGACATATTAAGACTTGGATTACCAGCCGTCCTGAACTTACTTCAGGAGCAATCCATGTATAAAACTCTACCTTTGTGTATTTTCTGAGTAAATTGTAAAAGTATTTCATCACATTTATGATATTTTCGAGTACATAATTTGCATATCGATAATCGTTAATACTGATTCCATCGACGATATTTCTGAGTATCTGATTATATAGTGCTGACAAGTTCGCTTAATCAGTGCCAATATAAGGTGTAGCCAAGTGGCTGGAGCGTTCGATAGTCATGTGGAGGACCCGGGTTCGATTCCCCACATGGGTACAATCTGTAAACACAATATCTTGTGTCCCCCGCCGTGATATTGCTGGAATATTGCTAAAGGCGGCAAAAACTAAGCTCACTTACTCCTCATATACTCAAACAGTATATATAGCGTTGCCTTTTTCAGTACTGGGGAATACATGTGGATTTCGTATGACTTCAGTATAGGATGGTGGTGGGGCATCTGGTGGAACATCTGGAACATATGCAGGGGGCACTGTGGGGGGCATTACGATGGTAGATACAGGGTCGGTGTGGGGTTTACGGCGGAGGACAAAAATGATACTTGGTCGGGAAGTCCTGTAAACACTCGGTCGGGGAATCCTGAAAGAACCCCCTAAACTGTAGTTAGTGCTTGTGCCGCTGTTCCGTCTTATGTCTAATGGCTTGCCTCTATCTGAAACCAAGCAACACATCTTTATTCAAAATTTGGAGTGGCATAGTAACTAAAATAGGAATCACATTCAATGTGTTTCATCACTATCTCACCTTACATGGTAATCACTTTCACTGTACTCCATCACTCGTCTCACCTGGACATAGTAATCTCTTTCACTGTACTCCATCACTCGTCTCACCCAACATAACAATCAGTTTCGCTGTTTTTCATCACCCATCTCACCTTACATAGTAATCAGTTTCACTGTTCTTCACTTCTCGTCTCATTCTAAATAGTAATCAGTTTCACTGTACTTCATCATCTGACTCACTCTACATAGTTATCAGTTTCACTGTACTTCATCACCCGTCCCACCTTACACAGTAATCAGTTTCAATGTATTTCATCACTCTTCTCACCCAACATAGTAATCAGTTTCACCGTACTTCATTGCTCGTCTCACCTACATAGTAATCAGTTTCACCGTACTTTATTGCTCTTCTCATCTTACATAGTAATCATTTTACTGTACTTTATCACTCGTCTCGCCTTACATAGTAAGCAACTTAGCTCTAGTTCATCACTCTTCTTGCCTTACATAGTAATCTGTTTCACTGCACTTCATCACTCGTCTCACCTTACATAGTTCTCAGTTTCACTTTATCTTACTCGGTGTTTCACCAATCTTAGATATTATACTGAGTGTTCCCCAAGATGTGAGCATAGATGAATAGCTGTCATCGACAAAACTATAAATCTTTGTCCTTTCAATCTGGCGAAGCACAGTTGTGTATGTTTGCTTGAGAAAGATATGTTAGTGGGTAAACTACTAAAGGGAGGTAGCTCTCACCGTTATAGCAGCCATTGCAATTTTTACCTGCGGACTTGAGACAGTAGCACACGTTGATCGTGAATACGCAGAACAAAAAGACCATGACAAATCCCGCAAAGCATAAACCCAGCGCAAGAGAGGATCTGAAACAAGACAAAAAGCAGTATTCTAAGATGCTTCGGTGAAAGATCAAAGCCGCCGTCATTACTTTATCAGACGATAATGTGCACTTTTTGCATTGCGTCACAATGTATTAGCATCACTGCGCCATTCTAGTCTGCCCCTCGTAATCGAACAATTTTGCATTATGTCACAATGTAAGCGACGTCACGATGCATGGCAGTTGTCATCGCCTCGTACAGCCTCCTACAGTAAACTACTCCGTTGCATCCAGTTTCATGGTTTGCAGTTGCTTCATGCAGCCAACATCACTGGTGGAAACATTACGTTTATGTTTTACGACAGTTAAAATGTCTCAATTCGACTCACAAGTTTTCATCGACACGTTCGCAATGTTTACATTCCCACAATGCAATTGCGGAATGTCGCTTGACTACTCAGCTTCATCTGGATGTACTGATCTAAACTTACGTTGGTACTAGAAATGCGACGTTAATATTGTCCCATATATGGTTTACGTTAATCACAGATGTAATTAAAATAATTTAGAAAAGATATTTAATCGGAACGTAAACCGTCATCAAACTGTTTATCCTTATTTTTTTCTGGTAACGTTCGTCTTTACGTAGGGGGACAGACACATGAATAGAACAGCGCGCAAGTTAGCACTGTGCGAGGATTCTCAATTTAGGTCACCGACACCGTCGTTTGTTTTCTGCCTTAGATTAAGTAGTAGTAGAGGGGGGGTTTTGCCGCACATGCGGCTTAGAGACATATTTTTATGAAATAAGTTCCCCAGCCTCCTTAAACACGGCGATGGTGTATCGAGAGGCATCCTTCGATGTGCCTCCAGCCTAGACCCAAAGTTCCGAATATTGACTGATCGGGAGTTCTGGTGGTGTGATGGTAGAGCGTAGGACTCGTGACCCAGCGACACGAGTTGGAGACGGGCCTGCCTTACCCGTCGTTGCTAAGCTAAACAAAGATGGCCGTCCAGCCTTGTAACGCCGGGCCTGCCTTACCCGTCGTTGCTAAGCTAAACAAAGATGGCCGCGGGCCGTCCAGCCTAGTAGCCGGGTCTGCCTTACCTGTAGTTGCTAAGCCAAACAAAGATGGCCGTCCAGCCTAGTAAAGCTGGGTCTGGCAGACCCGTCGTAGCTAAGCCAAACAAAGATGGCGGCCGAGCTTAGCAACGCCGTCTAGACCTGACGTCAGAGTATTTCTCTGGCTGTGGCCTGTCACACGGGAGCCACAATCAATTATTTTAAAATCGGGTTACATAAGCTTGGAAAGCAAACGGGGTTTGGACTGGATTTAAATTTAGCCGTAATATTCTGCGACGACTTTATGGAGTGGGTCTGCCATGAACTTGTCCAAGTAAGCTACGGGGTAGGTGGAGTACGTGCCGGTGCGTTCCCTGGTTTTCAGGCTATAATCGATTAACGTATCCATGAGACATTGTAACCGGTCGGTGTCCACAAGACCTAAACTGTCGTACAGGCTGGTGAATTTCCCTCGACTTATGACTCAACGCAGGGCGGCGTAAATATCGAGGCAACTGACGTCCACCCCGACGCGTCTGAACAACCGTTTCTCGATCAATCTCCACATGTTGATAATGAGATACATAAGACGAATCTTTAATAAGAAGTGGGCAATACCATGTCGTGATGGACGATCATCAATTCCTCTCGGACGAATCTCCTACCCGGTCCGTCTTGCAAGTAATACAGATTCGGTTTGTCGTCTTTGATGTCCCTAGGTCGACGTGGTACATTTTCATGGACCATACAGGGTCTGTGGCGCGACGTTTATCCCTCCTTCGAGTTCACGGGCTGGTACAGATACCTCACGACGACCCGGTCCGGTAGTTTTATCTCTTGGCCATGACGCGATGGCACAGCTGATTCGGTCGTCACAGATTTCATTTGAATGGCTTCGACGGGTCTTTTATCGAGGAGTCGAGTGACTTCGTTGTTGATCGCCGACACCACTCGCAGTAAGCGTACCACCCATTCCGTCAATCGTTTTTCTGGGTTGACCATCTCTTGGGCATATTGATGTCCGAACAAATGCTCGGCTTAAGTCCTGTTGAATCTTTCAACGATTGCTTGGCTTAGATGAGCTCCGGCCACGCCTCGTCTCACCTGGACTTTATGCTTCGATAACAGCTGGGACACAGCTCCCATTGAATTCGCGTCCGGGATCGACTTGTAATTCGGTCAGCCATGTCAAACAACTGCGTTTGTAGATGCGTTCTAAGGGCTTGGCGACTTGACTCGAATCTTTGGTCGTCAACAGCTCCGCTTCCTTGTAGCGACTGGCGACGTCCACGACGGTCAGGGCGTACTTGTACATTTTGTTTCTCACCTTGTCGTGCGGGAGAAACAGGAGGTCGGCTTGATGGGTACGGTTGGGTATGGAAATGTCAAACTTTCTTCTCGGGATGTATCGGGGAGCCAGCAGGTACACTTGCCAGATGGCTTGTTTTTTAAGCCAAGCTTTGGTGGTATCCTCGGAGACGCGAGCGACTTTGGCTAGCTTCGGGATGGCGCTCACACCTTTCCAACCTTCTCCATGATGTATACACGCTAACGTTCATTCAATTGTCTCCTTTATTGGGGGTCTCGAAAACTGCCAACGCGTCGAGGTCAACTGTTAGGTACCCATAGCTATAAGTGTGGATGCCATCGTTCGCAATCCATCGTTTCGTATCAAGGGGCGACAGCGAGGTCTTGAGAGTGATGCCTTAGATGTTATGTTTGTCGCTTCTCAACGCGTTCATGGGGTGTTTGAACGTGCGTTTATCGAAGAGAGCCTCTTTGAAGAGGGTGTGTTGGATGTGTCGTTTCACCACATATTTCTTCACCCCTTTTTTTTTTTATTTCGTCGACATTGGCTTTCTTAATAGAATACATCTTAGGTCTCAAGCTGATGTACTTGGCGATCGGTGTGTCGGCGCATTCGTCCTTCATCTTACCGAAGACCTTTTTATTGGTCGTGCTGTGTAGGGCGTGGTCTGGGGGTAATCGCTGGTGTCGTATAGGTGCAGGTGTTTCGCCATGTCCTCGTACACGTCCTCGGTACGAATTTCCATGAGCAGTGAATCTGATTCGTGTACAACACTTCACATCGATCGCCGTACTGTGGCTTGAGTCGGTTGTAATAAAAGTCGTACATGAGATGTTTGGAGAGGTCGAGGATGCTCATCCCCATGTAGACGGGCCTGTTGATCTTGATGCGGCTTTTGTTCATGTGTAGCACTGCCAAGCCATTATAGAATAGTTTGCTTCGATTGAAGGCCGGGCTGGTGATGAGTTTCCTGAGTTTTTCTTCCTCGTGAGATCACACGAGTTTGACCGTCACTCGTTTTCTCAAGTTTTCCATGGTTTTACCGAACACCGAGTTGTTCATCAGTTTGTAGAGATTTTTCTCGAAGTCGCTGGTGGCCTGTTTTCTCAGCTCGGTGTTCAGCCGAATGTAAGGTTCCATCCAGGGACTTTGATCAAATTGCAGCACCTGACGTATTGTGGTCAGCTTCATGCCCAGCGACAAGTACAGTTGCAGATTCTGATAGTGCACCACATACTTGGTCTTGTGCATCAAGTTCGGAACGAGTTTTTCCACGTTGGCCAGCTTATTTTTCCGTGCAACGTTAGTTGATAGTCCAACACCCAGTCTCAGTTCACTGTCAACCGTTCGGGAGCCAGAAAATAGCTGTTGTGAGCAGTGTGCAATGCCGCAGGATACTCCAAATCCACTTCGAGGATGTAGCCTTTGTTCGAATCCCCGCGCGATGCTCATGATATCGATCTCATCGTCCAATCATTCGAACCCGCCCGTAGCTAGAGACTGTCTCATTGCCCAGCAGTAGAGGTTGTTGGTGTCGAGATACAGGAGGTGGTTGGTGGGCTTGCTCAAGTCGTAGCTTTTCACGTATTTGTTGTTGGCTTTTGGAGACAATGGAAATCCTACCACGCATACCTTTCTCGACGAACAGGTGCATGTCGTAATCCATGAGCAATTCCAGTTTAACTCTGTTCTTCTTCAAGCGGGCATCCCACGAGAGACCGGGGCTGGTGTAGTACCAGGCAGGGTCGAGTTGATACTGTTTCAAACACGTTGTTCTGAAGGAGGAACTGGAGGAACTGAGCACTATTGATAAATCTCAGACCATTGAGTGAAAACGAGATGTATTTTGCCATATTGTTGGGGATATCGACGGCATGTCGATTCGGACGGCCGTCCCTGCCACGCCTCGGCAATCATCCCGGTGTGCTTCCAGCAGGTCTTCTCGTTTGAATTCGTGCAGGCATCATTCGCAGAAATGTTTCTTTTCCTTGTGGTTCGATTGGTCGTACAATAGTGGGCTCAGACTTTTGATCCACGCATAGTGATACCGGTCGCCTTTTTTGACGAGAAATAAATTGATTCTGTGCACATCATCAGGCCTGGAGCTGATTCGGTGCACGATCATCGTATTGCCTTCGTCATTTGAGAGATGGGTGTGGGTGCGTCTACACCGTCCAAGTTGAGTGCATCGTCTGAGGGATAGCTCGAAGGTCTGTTTGCCACTTTAGAATCGGCGGGGAATAAGGCAGATCTCAGCGCCCATCTTAAGCAGTGATCATCGTTGTTTTTAACGTTGACGATGGCTTTTTTATTTCTGTAGTAAGGTGGCAAGTCTAGGAACGATCCGCCTCTGAATGGTACGTAGTTCGCTATATCCAAATAGATGGCGTTGATACTTCCCACCACCCACCCGGAGCACCTGTGCGTCAATCATTCCAACGATTCTTGTATTTTTTGTAGCGAGGTATCTAGGGTCGAAGGGATCGAGTGGGATTGAAGTACGACTTCCTGCTTGCCTCTTGACGTCGATGTTAGACGGCACCGTCATTTTTCAGCCTCTCAGATACTTACCCACGGCATGGTCCGTCGGCACAAACCTCAATTCGACCGGCTCATTGTCTTCCAATGCCATCTATTTGGATATAGCGAACTACGTACCGTTCAGAGGCAG